AGGCCTCTCTCATCTTTTTAAGTGGGAGAACTTGCACAATTGGTGGCTGACTAAATACTTTTTTGCCCCACTGTATTATATAATTATAAATGTATAAGGAATGCATGTAATGAAGTTAGAGGTGTATAGGTTGAGGATCTAAACATATGCATACTGTAATATGTAGATGATGCCATGTTGTTGACTTAGAACCTAAATAATTTGCAGTGCATTGATAGATTATATGAGGTAGATGTGCTTGAAAGGAAAGATGAACATTTGCAAATTATACATAAATAGCAAAAAAAAAAAAACCCAAGTAAATAAATCTGTGCTTTTTTAGAATGTTTATTGAAGATGGAAAAACCACAGGAGAAATGTTAAAACATGCATATATTGTATAAAGATAATGAAAAGTATGTCCTCTTTTGCAAGAAATGAAGTCTGTCAAAGGTAGTGAAAATGGCCAGGTAAAAGAATATGCTTCTGCCCATTTTGTTATGAATGTCAGGAGAAACCTCAAAGTCAGCTGAATGCAGTGGGAATGGGCTTAAGAAGCGTGCGTGGTAAAACACGAAGAGAAAGGATCAAAGATAAAACAGGTACAGAATAAATGTAGATTGAACACAAAAATGAGTGGCTGGTACGAAAAGGCACATTGAAGTGGTTTGGTCATATAGAGAGAGTGAATGAGAATGGAATCTCAGAACAAATATGTGAAGGAAGTGTAGAGTGAATGGGTCAAGAGGATGGCAAAGCTGAGAAATTCATGGTTGAGAAGATTCTTGAAAAGAGAGGGGAACAGTTTAAAGAACAAAAGACTATATGGGTGTCCCATTTCACACAAGTGACTCTGAGCGGCCTACAAGGGTTAAAAACACAGAAACCCGTGACATATAACCCCTGACACCCAACAATAAATAATAACCCCGCTCACAGGAAAAAAAACATCAACAGCTGCGGAGCTCTTCTAACCTCCTGACCCAGCAGAACCATACAGGGTTGCGCCATACAGAAAAAAGGCTAACTGAGTTGGGCCATCCGAATCTCCAAGGGGATGCTGTTCCTTCCACAGGGTAGACTCTGCCATTGAGAAGGTTATGACTCCAGGGTCCAACAGGTTGACATTGTTTGACACAAGGGACCCAGAGCATGGCCTCTCTACTAGATTTGGTGGGGTGAGCAGAAACAATGGAAGAAAGGCAGTCCCACACATAACCAGCACATTGAATTGCACCAGTTCAGTGGTGTTATATGGATGTAACAAGAAACACCAAAAACTGCCTGAGCTGCTGCATTCTGGACCAGCTGCAGCTTCTGAGTCCTCTTCAAGGGCAGCCCTATGTAAAACACATTATAGTAATCCAAACAGGAAGTGACTGAGCTGTGAGTCACCATAAACAAGACCTCCCAGTCCAGGAATGGGCACGATTGGTGCACAAGACAAACCTGTGCAAAGATACACACACACACCCCAGCCATGGCTGCCACCTGCTCTTTGAGGGTCCCAAATTGCAGCTGACTGGGGAAGTGCACCTCCAGGCAGAATTAAAAGATGGAAAATCCCAGGAACCGGGAGAGCCTTAAAACCCACAGCCACTCAGCTTTGCCGGGGTTGAGCCAAAGCCTGTTCTCCCCCTTCCAGATCCTCACAGCCTCCAGCCCTTGGGAAAGGAAATTGACCCCATCATTTGATTGACCAACAGTGGAGATGTACAACTGGGTATCGTCAGCATACAGCGATGATACTGTACCCCATGCTGGCAGATGACCTTGCCCAGCAGCTTCATGTAGATGTTGAATAGGAGCAGGAGGAGAGTGGAGCCCTAAGGTGCCCCACAAAGCAGGGGCCTCAAGCTAATCCCCCCCCCACAACACCAACTGGAACTAGCCCTGGAGAAAGGAGGAGAACCGCCATAATACCATGCCTCCCGTTCCTAATCCCCTGAGCTGGCCCAGAGGGATACCATGATCAATGGTATCAAAAGCTGCTGAGAGATCAAGGATGGCCAGGATGGATACACTATGCCATCCTGGGCCTGCCAGAGGTCATCAACAAGTGTGATCAATGCTATCGTAGTACTATAACCAGGCCTGAATCCTGACTGAAAAGGGTCCAGATGATCTCTTCTTCCAGGCTCTCTGGAGCTGCAAGCCAACCACCTTCTCAAAAAGGGAAAATTGGAGACTGGATGAAAACTGTCCAGATCCGTTGGGTCCAGAGATGGTCTTTTTTCCTTAACGTGTGTCTTAATGTTAGATGTGCCCATCTTGGAAGATGGTATGATGTAGTTTGATGGCTGGATTGTACATCTGTTGTTTATTTTTATCATTTATTTCTATCTTTGTTGACAGTTGTTTTTAATGTTGTGTCAGCGACCCAGGGTTCCTCTGTGAGCCCAGCCCTTCCGAAGAGCCAGTAGCCGAGGGAATGCTGGGCTGTAGCAGACGGTTTGCACGCCTGAATTTCACCCAGAGATGCCTACTGCTGGCCACCTGCGCCATTGATTCATGAATATTCTTATCAGCTGAACTGATAAGAAGTTCCTGGGAACAAAAGGCATTTGATCTTTTTAATGTGGTTCTATAGAGATATTTTAAGAGATCAATACAAAGAAGTTAGTTTTAGTGCTACTAGTTTTGAAAGAAACTTATTTTAATACAGCCTATTCTCTCTATGTGTGTGTTTGTGTGTTTTTAAAGGAAACTTCAATTTTATCATCTCAAATGTTCCCACGTAATCTAGGTAAGAACCACTAAGATTTTTGCTGTTTGTTAAAACACTTTTCAATTGCAGCACCCAGGAAAAAAAATCAGTTAATAAAATCTGCATTTAAGTTAACCCTAAGCCTAACCCTAACCCTCAGTAATTATTTTAGAATTTTTAAAAATACATCAAAAAGTTATCCAGAAGAAGACTTGAAGCAATTAAAAATGGTCTGATGCACCAATAAGCATAACTCCAGCCTCTGTAGGTAGATGCACAATATATACGGTTTTCACCTTGGAGCCATTAAGGCGTGATCTGAAAGTGGAGGACTTAGTTACTAGACCTTTGCTGTGAGGAGCTCATTCCTTGGTCAGCTTGCGGGTCGATGGAGCCAACTATCCGGATCCCTCTCACTCAGGATGCAGACCTAGATGTGGGAATGGAAATGACACTGGTTGCTCTTGGGGATGGCTCGATCAGGGCTTTAATGGGAGAAGGGCTGAATTAGATTTCTTGGCTGGTTTTGATACCGTTGTTTGCTTCTCCCTGAGCGATCAGGACCGCTGGTACCTGCTGTGATGGAGTTGAGTCTGTTGCTCCTTTTATAGGAGGAACCTGTTGCAGGGCTCGGTCTCTCTAACTTCTGCAGGCAGACACTGGGGTGGTTGTCTGTCTGTCTGAGGGGAGGGATCAGTGCGCTGATAATCCATCTCTACCTGGAGCAGGCAGGAGACGCTGTGAAGGTCCTTCCCTGATGTTTGCAGACTGCAAAGGGCTGGGTGAAACATGCTACCGTTCAGTCATAGCAAGGCGGGGCGGTTGAGGGAGTTGTATCCTTCCCAAAAGAGCAGGTCTGCAATGTGGGAGTCCTGCTGGGCTGTGGCTCCACGTAGATGAACAGGTAGAAATTCTGACCAGGATGGCCTTGGCTCAGCTCATCTGGTGCACCAGTTGTGGCTCTTTTGGGAACTGGAAGCCCTGGCAAAAGCCACCCGTGCCCTCCCTGCCTCCCGCTTGGATTGCTGCAGGGCTGCCTTTGAAGGCAACCTGGGAACTTCAGCTGGGGGCAAGTGTGGCAGCTCACTATGGCCGCCCCTGCTGTTGTGGGCTCTGTGCTGGCTTCCAGCAGGTTTCTGAGGACAACTCAAGGTGCCCGTTTTCCCCTGTAGAGCCCAGGAGGGTAAGGGCCAAGTTGCCCTTGGGCCTCTCTCTTCCCACTGGGCTCTGCCAGGCGTGACTGGCGGTGCTCTCAGGGTGGGAAGCGAAGGGCCCCGAAAGCAGCACTCCTCTGTTGCCGCCTGGACCCCTGGAGTATGCTCCCCCCGAGATCTGGCTGCCCCTTCCCTCCTTTAGCCCCCTTCCAGAAAGCAAGGTGAAAACGCAGCTTTTCCCACCACCTCGCTTCCCGCTGCGTTGGCCGTAGGCGCCTTGTGGGGTTCACGGTTTGGTTTGTGAGCTGCCTCGAGATGTGTCATTGTGGTGGCATCGAAATGATGGGAGGGAAGAAATGAATGAATGAATCCGTCGGTCCGTCTGGACTTTGTGGGAATTCTGAACCCCTTGAGCACTCTTGGCCCCAAAAGTGTTTTTACTGGAGCTGTTGTCCCTCCACGCGGCTTGGCAGACACCTGGTGCTGCAATTGTTCAGATAGCAATAAATCAGTGAATAAAATCATTTTCTTGGAAAAAACAATAGCATAAGAGACAGTTTTGTTGAAAATAAGCAATAGATGTGATCTCTCAATCATATTAATTAATACTTACAAACATTAGTCAGGAGTGGGCAGTAAAGATCAATTATTGGAAGGTTTATGTCCCTGGAGTGGCTTTTTTTCTTTTCCCAATTCTTGCTTTTTTCCCTGCATTTCTGGAAAATGTAGTTCTGTACTGCTCGAAGTGAGAAAGCACGGTTCCCCAGCAGCAATTAAGATTTCCATGTGTGTTTTAATTTTTCAGTTTAAAGTGTTAACAAACCACTTCATAAATTAATTAAAATGTTGTCATCATTAGTGCATATTCACACGCTTGCATTTAATTACTGGGAGGTGGTCTTCCCTGGCACGCATTTCTTGAACGTGTGCACCGCCCCGTTCCCAACAGCTGGAGCGGGTTGGCTGGTGGCCTTTGACTCCGGGGAGCCCAGAAATGGCTGCGCTCCCCACGAGCCTGCCCCGTGGCTTGGGGGGCTCGCGGAATGTGTCAGGGCGGGACGTGCGGTTTACAGACCACAGTGGTTGGTTGCTCACGACTTATTCCAAAACCCCAAATGGTAAGAGGTATATAAACTCAGCCGTCTGAGGTATGTGAAGATCTCGTAGACAAAACTGAAGCGCCTCCTAATAATACACATTTATACGTATCTTACATCTCTTACCTTCTATAATAATGCTGATGTTATGTTCATAATATATAATGTAGAAAAGTCATTTTTACATCGTGGACGTAAAGCGGCGATGCTTCTTTCTGAGTCGCATAATCATCATCAGATAGCAGGTTTCAGGAGGAAATTGTTGTAAACCGGGACGCCCGGGGGCGGTTGGCGCTGCTGCCGTCAGGCAGGGTTCGAGGCGGCAGGACGGGGCTGAGCCGCTCCTTGGGCTGCCAGCACCAGCGTCCCAGTGCCGGCGGTGGCCCGCGCCCAGCACTGCCTGCTTGTAAACGCTTTCATATGAATCTGCTCCTCTTAAAGGGCAGCGCAGAGATGCAGAGAGGCCCTCAGAGGCCGGAGGGCAGGCCGAGAGAAGCCGGAGGCTGCGCTGAGCTGCTCCGGGAGGGCCCCGTTGCACTCGGTAGAAACGCCCGGGCGGAGGGGCAGAGCGGGTGGGACGGGAAGCTGCTCCTGCTGAAGACGCGGCGAGAGAAAGCCGCGAAGGCCGAAGGGCAAGCGGCGGACTCAGGCGCTTTCAGAAGGAGCTGGACGGCTGTGCGGGAGCGGGCACCGTCTGCGAGCCCTGCTCCCTGAACCCCACCTTTCTCCTAGCAGCGCTTCTGAGAGAGAGATTGAGGCAGAACACGGGTGGGTGGGTTTCAGGGCAGAAAGGGGTCTGGAGAGACAGATCAGCGTGAAGAATAAGGCCCTGCGGTTAAATCAAGCACATAGACGGCTGGGTGACTCTGGGCCAGTCCCTCCCTCTCAGCCCATCCCACCTTACAGGGTTGTTGTGGGGAAAAAGAGGAGGAGGAAGGGGAAGGAGAATTAGGTATGTTCGCCGCCTTGAGTTATATACTAAAAAAGGTGGGATAAAAATATTACAACAACAACAATATAGAAAAGGAAAGCAAAACGGAGATTTCAAGGTTGCCCCACCTGGACAGTGGGGCACTGACCAAGGACCGCAGGAACAGCTCTGATGAAGGGTGCATTAAGTGGGGCTAGAAATCTCAATGGTAAACTGACCTTGGCCTGTGAGATACAAGAGTCTCCCTGAAGTCCTGTTTTCAAGTGACATTTTAGAGCTAACGTTGCCCATCTTATCCTCAGGCGGGGACTGCAAGAGCACATAAAAAATTCAGAATTACCACAAAAAAATCATACCAGTGCAATTCCTCAACTGGGTAGAGTTTTGCCATATTAAGTCTTAGTAAATAACCTCGCATGGAGTTGGGATGAACTCCAAGAAACACGAGATATATCCACTGCAAGTCACTTGTCCGAAACTTTTGCAAATGATTCATGGACCGAGAACCTTTAATGGACAAAACGCCCACGCGCATTGTAAATTGTTCATACACAGAAACTTCAAATAATAGTAATATTTATACTTGATTAGTATTCTTAGAGTCTTTGGGTGCTGAAGTAGGTAGCTGAAAAAAAATGATCACCTGCTCCAATTTTAAGCAATGAACAAATTAAATAGGAACAAAGATATACATATCAATCTCTGTATATTTTAGGCCCTGAAGGAAGCTGTGGGTTGCTAATGCAGCGAACAGATCCAGGAGTTCAACCTGATCCAGTACATGTTGGTGAGTAACTTGACGAATGACTTTTCTCATCACGCACCAAACCTGCCCCAGTCCCACTCTGTGCGGATGACGCACTGGTCCTTTCCCAGTTGGCCTTGGTCTAAGAAGGGCCCTGCAAGCCTCGGCCAAGCCCTGTGTTTCTGAAGCTCTGGAAACTAACTACAAGAAGACCAAGGGGATGGTCTTTGCAAAACGCCCCAAAAGCCACCTTTGGACTTGACGTAATTGTCCTAGTGAGCAGGTTCCTTGGGTTATGGATA